TTTTTGAAATTATCTTTATTATAATTATTATGAAACACACACACATATATATATATATATATTATATATATATATATATATATATATCTACTATAGACAATATAAATTTAAAACAACCTATCTTTAAATTGAAATTATAAACTTAAAATGAAATGAAATGTAAACTTATATATAAATTAAACATCTTAAATTAATTAATACACTATTTTAAATCCATAATTAATTATTTCAAATATCTCCCATTTACACAAAGTTCTAACAACCAAATTTACTTTAGTGTATATTTGGTTGCCTATATATATATATGGCGTATTCAAATATATTTATAATACCATAATTATAATAACCAAATACATTGCAAAATAAAAACTTTTTAAACTTATTATTATAACTTACTAATTTCTTAAGAATACCTCATATAAATACTTTTTATAATATTCTCTATATTACTTATAAATTATTTCTTTAATCACTATTTAAGTTCATTCTAGATTACCTTCGTTTCTCCTATATTTAATAACATCTCAATATATATATATTATATATATATAATATTATATATATATATATATATATATATATATATGTTTTGGATTGTGTTGGACTTAATACAAGGGGCTATTAAGTAACTATTTTTTTATCTAGAGCGTTCAATTTTGTTTACAATTATTTCAAGAGCTGCTAAAAAATACAAAGTAAGTATCTTATAAACTGGAACTATTCCAAAAAATATTAAGTCACCAAATTAAATTAGTTTGGTTAAAAAACTTATACTGCTAAACATATTTCAAAAATACTATTTTTAAAAATCAACTTATCTAATAAATGTTTCTCTTAGATTTTGTAACATAATTTTGAAAAACTTTTTTAAAACAAAAAACAATTGAATTTATAAATAATTTAGAATAGCGACCAATTACAAATAAGCCTCATTGTCATGAATGCCAACTTACAAGTTTCATTTTTGACATTTATATTGCTAAAAAATAAAATTTTGGTAAATATTCTTTTTTATTTAATAATAAACAAGAAGGTTTATTTATTATTAATAGTTGTCTGAATAAATGTAACAAGTATATGGAAAATTAAATTGCAATGTGATATTTGACTATAAAGAAATAATATAATTATAAATTTTGCTTAGATTTTGAATTTCTGATCTTTTTGTTTAAATTATTATCACTACTGCTAATACAAACCATTTATAAAAAGTCCTTTTGACTATTACCTTCATTACACAAAATTTGAATGTTGTCAAAATCCATAACATGGTCTTTGTCTGCCAAAGCACAAGATGTTTGTTTAATTCTACAATAAAATGGGGAAATAATACGATTTGACACATTTCTTCTGGTCTCGTCAACATACATAGCTTCACACTGAGTACAACCAATGCTGTATACTACATTTGTTTTATCTAATTTGTCTATAGGATAGTTAGTTTTAGAATATAAAGATGAAATAGGTTTGATGTTCTTTGTTGCTATTTTTATATTGTCAATAACCTTTAGTATTTGTATTAATTTAGGTGTTAATGATGGTATAAAAAGTAATGAATGATAATAGATGTTCTGATTATTGGATGTAATGTTCTGAGATTTAGCAAAAAATGGTGTTAAGTTATTTATATTAACAATATTAGAAAAAAGCATTATATGTAGCATATCTGGAGGATAAGAGTTCTCAATTAAAATATTTTTTAACAATTGAAAATATTCTTTTAGATAATCTGGATGAGAAAGCCTTAAAACACGTTCTTTTAATCCTGTTATAAGGTTCATTTTCTTAACCAACAGAAAAATTAATCATACAAGAGACTTCAGCAGCGCAGACGAGATGAAACGAGATGAAACCTGGAAGACTATGAAAATCTTAGACGAGAAGAAAAAAGGACGTTTAGAAAGAAAAAGAAAGAGTCATACGAAAACGCTCTAAACGGGATTGTTAACCACCACAACAGAAAAGACTCGCGAAAATTTTACCAGAAGATAAACATCTGCAGAAATAATTCAAACCCAGAATAAACAACATGTAAAGACAGAGATGGTTCCATAAGTAGTGACAAAAAACAGATACTAAAGAGGTGGGCGAATGATTCATTCTAATCATTTGTTTTCATTGGTTACATTTTAAGAAACATGCTACACGCGTGCTACTTGCTACGTGTTACTTGCCACGCCACTTTGGTGGGCGCTCGCTCTTACACTTACAGGCGTAGAGAGTGTAGTCAGAATCCAAAACAACTTTTCAAGACCCTTCCATTGTAAAAATGGACTGAGACAGGGAGATGGACTGTCGTGCCTCTTATTTAACCTTGAAACTAGAAAAAGTAATTCGAGAGTGCCATATTAATACGAATGGCACCATCTTTAATAAATCTGTACAAGTGGTCGGATATGCAGATGACATAGACATTATTGCTAGGTCCACAGAATTTCTGATCGAAGCATTTCGATCATTAAGGGCGTCTGCACTGAGAATGGCATTAAAATAAACGCACAGAAAGCCAAGTATATGTATTGTATTAGATCAGGCAACCAGATACCTAGACTATTAATTGATGATCTGGAATCGGAAGGTGTGGACACCTTCGTCTACCTGGGCTCGCTTCTGACCAAAGACAAAAATGTCAGCGAAGAAATTAAAAGAAGAATAGTGCTTGCCAATAAGTGCTATTATGGCTTGAGGAAGCAGATGGCCCCAAAACTATCCATAAAAATTAAAATTACCATATATAAAACACTAATAAGGCCAGTGTTAACATACGGGACAGAAACGTGGTCAGTTACACAGAACGTCCAAGAACTGCTTAAACGTTTCGAGAGAAAAATTGTAAGGAAAATGTATGGAGGTGTCCAAGAACAGGGTTTGTGGCGTAGGCGCTACAACTCTGAGTTATACAGAAGTTTTGGGGAACCTGGCCTTGTAAAATGTATTAAATTAACTTCCCACTTCCGACTAAAGAGTCGGAAGTGGGAAGACGATCCAGAGGAAGACCAAAACTTAGGTATCAGAATAACATAGAGGATGATCTAAAATCCATCGGAGTTAAAGCATGGAGAAGAGTTGCCAGAGACAAAGGCGAATGGCAGATTGTTCTGAAGAAGGCTTTGGCTCATGACGAGCTGTAATGCCACTCATGATGATGATGATGATAAGGTTTATTTTCGTCTTGTTTGGATGATGTGAGTAATAGCTTATCTATTACTACATATGGGTTTTCTGAACCATCGGGTTTTCAAAACGTTATATGTAGTTCTTACAATTCTCATGTCAAGGAATGGAAGAGAATTATCTACCTCTTCTATGGGATCTAGTCTTTCACCCATTCTAAGTAGCTATGTCATGGATGATGTTATCAATTATTGTCTCAACAATTGCACTTTTTTCATTCCTGTTATTAAAAGATATCTAGATGATTTAGTTTTGGCATGTCATAAACTCAAAATTCGTGAAACAGTTAACATTTTCAACAATCAAAATCAACATAACAGTTTACAGTTGAGGAAGAGAATCTAAGCAAAATTTCTAATTATAGTTTTTCTCTATAGTAACATATCACATTTAATTTAATTTAATTAATTTAATTTAATTTAATTTAATTTTCCATATACTTGTTACATTTTTCAGGCATCTATTAATAATAAATAAATCTTCTTTTTTATTTTTTAATAAAAAATAATGTTTAACAAAATTTTATTTTTTGGCAATATAGTTGTCAAAAATGAAAATTGTAAGTTGGCATTTATGACATTGAGGCGTATTTGTAATTGGTCGCTATTCTAACTTATTTATAAATTCAATTGTTTTTTGTTTTAAAAAAGTTTTTCAAAATTGTTTTAAAAAAGATTTTCAAAATTGTTTTAAAAAAGTTTTTCAAAATTGTTTTAAAAAAGTTTTTCAAAATTATGTTACAAAATCTAAGAGAAACATTTATTAGATACGCTGAATTTTAAAAATTGTTTAGCAGCATAAGTTTATTAAACAAACAAATTTTATTTGGTGAGTTAATTTTTTTGCTAGGTCCACTTTATAAGATATTTTGTATTTTTTAGCAGCTCTTGAAAATAATTAATAATTGTAAACACAATTCAAAGCTCGAGATAAAAAATAGTTACATCATAGCCCCTTTTATTGACTCCGACCCATCCAAAACATATTTATATATTTTTTCCAATAGAGTCACAAGTACTTCTTTTTTCTTACTCTTATTTATATACATATGTATATATATATATATATATATATATATATATATATATATTCAAAAACCGTTCTACCATATAATGGTTGCAGGTATTACCATTATTATGATAAAAAAGATTTAATGTAGAAAGATTCGGTAACTTATCTTTGAGTATCAATATACGCCAGAAACCTGGCATCTTACAGAAGATGAAACGGTTACAGACATTTTAAATGTGATGGTTTTAGAGGCTAACAAAAGACAAAGAAATTATTATCACCGTAAACAACAGAAAATTGGTTTCCTTCGACCACATTATGCGTAATAATAAGTACCGACTTATACAGTTGATTGTACAAGACAAGATTCAAGACAGGAGAGGCCTAGGACGTAGACGTGTATACTGACTGGCCAATCTTAGGAAATGGAGTGCTTTAATGTCAACTGATCTATTTCAAGCAGCTGTGAACGGAATAGAATGGGTCAATGTGGGCGCCAACATCACTAGAAGATAAGCACCTTAAGAAGATCTACATTTAATGGGAATCAACTACAATTTTAATTGACAATACAATACAATACTTGGTAAAACCATATAAAAGAAATCGTTCTTAAATTTTGCCTTTTTACTGGATCCTAAGCAATTAGGATCTTCACTTTAAGCATCTGAGTCATTTGATTCCACACATTGAAACTTTTTAATTGCCTCTAATATGCTATTTAAAGTTTCTGCTTCTTATTAAGTTCATGAAAAGCTTAGTCACATAAATCAAATGAATGCCATACAGCCAAATAAATAATATATTGTTTTTAGGTATACATGGAAATGTGACAATTAAAGACGGTGTAACTTCGTCCATTAGCATTGCTTCCCAGTTAGAAAGCGAATACGCTGAAGTCACCGTCGTGCCTGTGGCAACAGCAGGTCCATGTAATTCTTCTTGTCATACCATATATCCATTTTTGATATTATTATTCTTTATGACATTTATTGTGGCAGTCACGCAGATGCCTCTACTCATGATAGTGTTAAGGTGAGTATCTAAGTTTAATATGTTATACAAATTATATCGTTTACACGAGCTTACGAAAGGTCTGTAATTTTATATTTTTCTAAATCAATCTGACAAAAGAATCAATGCATTCGACTGTGTAATGCAAAGCTGATCTGATCTTACATGTTTTAATCTTGTTTAGGCTTTTGCCCCTTCAAGGAGAGCTGCTACTTTTTTTGCGGTGCTAGGGAGTAAACGGTTGATAAACGTCAAAATTTATTTTGTGTATTGGTTTTTGGTGGTGGAACGCTAAAGAGCTAGGGTGCAGAAGGTGGCGTTTGTGTTAAGGAGCACACTAGAGACATTTTTGGTTAGCCAGATAAACCAAGGAGAGGTATTTCGAGTGTTACCAGCCATACTAGGATTTTTTAGGCTCTTGATTTGCGTTTTTGGCTTGAAGTTGTTAATTGCGATATTTTAGGGAGATTTCTTCTGTCGAAATACTCATCAGGAAGTTCGTTTCTAGCGTTGTGTATAAACTTTGCTGGAGGGAATTGAACTTTTTTGAGGGGAATCTTGGTGAGCATATGCCCTCGTAGAGCACAGCCGTAATACATACCTTATATAATATGAATTTACTATTCGCAAAATTCGTCAGGATTATCACATTATCTTCAATTGCACAATTCTTTGCTGGAGGGAATGGAACTTTTTTGAGGGGAATCTTGGTGAGCATATGCCCTCGTAGAGCACAGCCGTAATACATACCTTATATAATATGAATTTACTATGCGCAAAATTCGTCAGGATTATCACATTATCTTTTCAAAACAGAAAATAATTTACTATTCCTTTTTTTTTTTTTCATTTAAACAAAAATGACCCTGCATCAACTACTAAGAGTTATTAGCAGGGGAACAAACACAAATTACAAGTATTCAATTTCTTACAGTGTATATATAACTTAAATATATCCTATTAAATACTGTAAAATTTAATGTCTTTCAAATATTTCAGCACTTGGTTGAACTCTCAGCTTAGTAGATCCTTCACGTTGGTAGAGAGGTTATTTTTTCTTCTTTCTTTGGTTTATGTTTTGCATTCTAACAGAATATGTTTCACAGTGATTTGGATCTTGCAGTTGTGGTAGAAAGGGATGGCCTCTTTATTTATTTAAGTGAATATGGGTTGGTATAGTATGTCCTAATCGTAGTCTAGTTATTATCACTTGTTCACAACGTTTGAGTGGGAGTTGTAAGGTGGTGCCGACAGTTTCTATAACATCTTTTAATTTGTTGGATGTGGAATTACAGTTACTCTGTCATAAGTTGGTAATATGTTTTTAATGGATGTTTTATGGTCGTTTCTTGTTAGCATGTGCTTTCATCTACTGCAGCTTCATTCGCAAGTTGGTCCACTGCTTCGTTTCCCTTGATTCCCACGTCTGATGGCACCCATAGAAAAGTTATTTCTATGTTTTTTGTTGATATTAGTATGGGTTCATTTTTTATTAGCATTATAATTTCATTTGATGGATACAATTGCTGTAAAGCTTTTAGTGTACTTAATGAGTCAGATATTATAATATAATGAGGTGTGGATTTTCTTCTGCAAACTTTCAGTGCCTCTAAAATAGCCAGTGCTTCTCCAGTAAATATGCTACCACTTAGATGGAGTCGTATTTTAAAATGGTCTGCTCCATGTATGTAAGCCGCTGCTAGTCCTGATTGAGTTTTTGATGCATCAGTGTAGATATGTTCAGAATTTGGATATAGGGATATTATTTCATGGTATGATTGATGTATTACTGTTGGGTTAGTGGATGTTTTGGGATAGCGAGTAAGTGAAGTATTTACAATTGGTGGACTATTTGACCAAGAGGGAAAGTTTTAGGTTGGATTTATGGTGGCACTAAACTGCTCACAGTCGTACCCAGTGAATTTGATTCTTTCATGAAAAGGGAGTGTATTCATAGGTTTATTTTTGTAATTACTGATACATTTAGGTTTTAAGATATTTGAATGCATGGGATTTTGATGATTTGATGATATACGAGTTGCATAATTTAGTGACAATTGTTGCCTTCGTAAGTGTAAAGGTAATTCGTTAGCTAATATTTGAAGGCTGTTGGTTGGGCTAGTTCTAAATGCGCACAGAGCAATTCTTAGTGTCGTTGTTTGAATTGAGTTTAGTTTCTTTAATGTAGGTTTTTGGAAGTATCATAACATATTGAGCCATAGTCTAATTTGCTACGTATAAGTGATTGGTATAAGTTTAATAGGGTTCTTGTATCTGCTCCCCACGTACGGTTTGAGAGCATTTTCAGGAGATTAATTCTAGGTTGACATTGTTTTTGCAAGGTTTTTGCAAGGCTTTTCCAGTTTAGGGTGCAATCTAGAGTTAACCCCAGGCAATTTATTTCGTTTGTTTCTTTTAGAGTATGTCCATTTAAAGTTAGACTAACGTTTTTATTAACGATTAACTAATATTATGTACTGTGTTTTTTCAGGAGAAAAGTTAACACCAGTTTTAAGTGACCATTTTTCCAGCGTGTGTAAAAACTTCTGTATTACTTCAGTCGTACATTCCACACTTCTGCTTTTGTGGTAGATAATCAAGTCGTCTGCGTATAAATTGGCTTTGATCGGTAATCTCATTTCGTCCAAGAGGTTATTTATTGCAATCAAAATTTATTAGTTATTACTTAAAATATGTGTTTATGCCAACTCACTCGCAGATTCATAAAATGTTAATTCACTGTCACTGCTCCTATAAGAGCTTCAACACGCGTACTACATCCCACTTTTATCTTCTTTCTGTGCATGTTTTATGTGTGCATTTGCTCTCTGAAGGTCCCGTTGGACAAAAGGATTTACTTCGTCAGCGATATTCTGATCAATTTTACGTGTAAAATAGTTTTCAATCTATGGGTCTATATTCTTGGTTTAGGTGACCTAATTTGTATCTTGAAACAAATTCGCCACAAACTGTTTATATAGTAATAGTAATAAATTGTTAGTTGTCCATTGTCCAAAGTGTTGCCAAATCTGACAACTTTGCAAGCATCAAATTTGAAATCTCCTTATTGCGGAATAGACGTATCCCGGTTTTTGTACAATCCAGACCATCTATTTAAGAGATAATTAAGCGTTTCCAGACTTTTGGTCCACTTTGTATATGCATTTTTTTTTATAATAAAAGTATTTTTTGTTTAAGGTCTGTCAATGAAGAGGAGCGATCTTTTGCGCTGGGAATGCAATTTGTGATATTCAGGTTATTTGGGTATATCCCAGCTCCTATTTTATTCGGAAATTTGATAGACTCCACTTGTCTGTTATGGAAAAGCACTTGTGGCGAAAAAGGTGGCCGTTGTTTGTTATACGATATAGAACAATTTCGATATAGATACGTAGGATTATGCGCTGGTATTAAGACGTTAGCACTTGGCATATTTTTAGTCGATTGGTGGTTGGTTCGACATCGCAGGCAGTTAGATGAAGACAAAGCCATAACCGCCAATGAAATAGTTGGATCAATTATTAGTCTAGATAAATGTAAGTATTTTCTAGATAATTAAATAAATATAGATACTATGCCAGGAAATGAAGCTCGCAATTTTTTCGTCCAGCATGGATGTACCTGAAATTTTCACAGAAGGTAGAATAGCCCAAGGATCATTTTTTATATCATGCCGCTGTACGCTAAAACTTTGGGGTTGCTTGACATTCCAGCTCGGGGTTGGGAACTTTTCATTACATTTTAACCATGGAAATAGATGGAAAAAGTAATTCTAAAAAAAATGTTTGTTACGTTTTCTTCGTAAAGCTAATATTTCTCCAGTTATTCCCGGTTAAAAGTAACTATTTTCGACGAAAAAATCGATTTTAATTTTAGAGGGTTTTTTTTGAGAATAACTCGAAAAATATGCAACCGAGATACGGCATGTTCAAGGTTATCTTTTTTCGTCAAATGCATAATTTGAAATATTCAAGCCAAATATCGGGAAAACTTTTTTGGAGAAAAAACTTACAGAATATTTTTTTAAGTATAGGTACATTAGACTTTTCAAGCATGAAAAATTAAGCGATTTATGATCAAAATAAAATCGGTACCTACTTTTTTCTAGGAAAAAATCAGTGAAAACATCCCCCTAACCACCCTCCTAATTTAAATTGATTTCACCCTTCTGTAATTCTTTTTATATATGTATTATCACTACATCCAAGAAGCTTGACCTATTTAAAACGTCTAATTTTAGAGAAATTGGAGTTTAAAGATAAATTGATTTTTGCAATTTCGTATTTTTCACCCTTTTCTTCAAAATATCTCCGAAAATACTGGCGATGCGAAAAAATGATGCAGTACTAAATTGTAGCTTTTTTAATAACTAAAATGTCCCTGTTCATAGATTTTCTTTACAGTGAATATTTAGCGAAGTAGGTATAGCTTTTTAAAACCTCTATTTACCGAACAAACACCCCCTTATTCGAGTCCTTTAAACTCACTCCATTTAAAAACTAAGGGATCTTACGAAATTTAATTTACATAGTCTTATAACTCTTCAAAAACCCTACAAAATCAATTTTTTTTTCTCGAAAAATTCTAATAGCTTGTTTGGGAGTGTAATAGAGCATTTTCAATGTATATAATACCACAGAACCGGTTTTTCGGCAGTAATACGTTATAATATATTTAACTTTTTCCATCCAAATCGAAAGACAGAAAATAAGAAACATTGGCTCATGTGTCTGCGTGTATCATGTGTATCAGTGTATATTGCGTTGATTCCTCGTCAGTGTGTTCTACAGTTGAACAGATGTCTGAAAGAAATAACACGTGCTCTGTCAATTTTTCTAGAATTATTCAATTGTGTTTATTATAGTAAGTAAATTGGTTAGTTTGTTTGAAAATTAATAATAATAAAGTTTTTTTAAAGTACAATGTTTTTATATAATTTTTGACATTAAGGAGTAGTCTAAATTACAAAAAATAATCAACGCCCTTGAGCATTACATAGAATATGAAGTACAGGGTGACATGATCCTAATCCCAAATTTTTATCCAAATCGATGCAAGCCGAAATTATTCTTTTAGGATAAATAAATTGTTTATATATAGCTCCAAGATGGGTAGTTTTAAGGGGTTAAATATTATGATATTATATCCTAAAACATAAAACAATCATTATTTAACTAATAAAAACCAAATATTGACCATATTAAAGTTTAAAATGTTATTTTACAATTAGGTTTGTATTTTTCACCTTTTAAAAACCAAAAGCGTACAACGGCTCAATATAGAAAATGAACTTGAGAGTGAAGTGAGCCTGATCCCAAATTTTGTATAAATCGATGCTGGACTAAAAAATTACTAGGTTTTGCCATTCTTCAGCTTCATTTCCTGGTCTATACTGTAATTTCGCATTTACGGAAGCTTTTTATACATTTTTTGTTAATATTTTTCTGTTTTAGTATTTGAAGAAAAACATGAAAGTGGACGGCACACTCGAAACCCTAGTTCCGCCAGCGCCTGTGAAATATCAAGGCCTCCAAAGCCTGCCGATGAATCTCAACAGAACGCCGGCATAAACAAAGAGTCAAGCGACTTACAAACTGAGGAACTACCAGAAGCTATAAGCAGTTCTGTACCTGAACAATATATTTCAGCCGGAAACGGCAGTTTGAAAAGACGCCACCCGTAGACTTAACCTTTAATCTTTGCACAACTTAATATTTAATCTTATATTACTTTTTTACCGTGGTAGTGAATAGTATCTTAGGTTAGTCCTTAAAATATGAATTCGCAAATTACTATTATTAGATTAACATAGTTTTTTGTCCTTTACTCAAATATTGAACGAAAGAGTTATACCGAGACGCTAAAAGCAAGCGACAGAAAATTATTTGACAATAACTCAAATATGTAACGAATCTGACTTGCAGCGTCCGCTAAATATCCATGTAACATCTCCTAAACCCATTATATAGACAATGGATCTGATCTTCGTCAAGTAACTCAGTCGGTATGTAATCTCATAACGTAAAACTTATCTTTTAATATTCTTTTAATGTCTTTGAATATGTACACTTTCAAGAATCTTTCTGCTACGACAAATTGGAACAAAGAACCTACTGTAATACTTCGTTGACGCTCATAGTTCCAAATTTTAATTGGAAGATTCGTTACTTGTTTTCCAGAACTTTCCAATTTGGAAAAAGTTTACTATAATTTTATTTTGGGTCATAATGCACTGCCATCGCTAAAAGAACATTCTGACGTGAAGGAACGTGTATTCCCAGCCGGTATGTAATTACGTGAAACAATCCTCCCTTTTTATATTTTCTGAAAGTCTTTGTGTAGCACACGATCATAAGCTGATTTAAAATCTATGAAGGGGTGACGTATCGATATTAAATTCTTTGGTGTTTTCCAATATCTGCCTTAGCACAAAAATCTGGTCCGTTGTTGATCGACCAGACCTAAAACATTCTAGAATAAAGACTAATAACAATACTCATTGCAAAACTAGTACATCTCGAAATCATTATATCTAAATGAGAGTTTAATTAAGTTTACTTCTGGTAGTAAACCGATTCAGTATTTCACTCTCACAGATCGTTGATGTTGAAGGTCTGTCCATTCTGATTGTAATCAAAATCATCTGCTAGGTTAATAAGATGTTTAGGCATATTACTAGGTGGTCACAATGGTAATAGCTATTTCTTCTTACAAATGTCCGATTTTCCTTCTCAACGACATATAATCGTGGTTATTGTAAACATCGTCTAACCACAGTAGGTTTCCATTGTCCATCTTCTCTTATAACCCCGTTATCCCCTACACTTAATTATTCTTTTGCTTCTTTTCTATCATAGTAGAGCTTGTACAATTTTCTTTTATTATCCAGTTTATTTTCAATTTTTAGGACTACCTAAACCTGTGATCTGTTCTCGTAAATATTTTTCATGTAAAACTGGAAATTTGCCTCTAAGTCTACGACTATTACGGAGTTGTGTGGGGGATTTATCTCATCCTAATAGCTGTATGTTCCTATATTATAATAGGGATAACTAAAGATCTTCACACTTTTTAGCTATCTGGACGGCTCGTTCTACCTACCCCTTTACTCTAAGATATCTAGGGCTAGATGTCACAAATTTAAAGTTCCATCCCTTAGAAACTTCTCCTTCTCGGGAGATTCATTGAGTCCTCTACTGTTCATCCTGATTATGGATGAAATATAAAAAAGTAAGAGGACACCAAATGAGAGAAAAACAACTTAAAATAATCTGCTATGCAGACGACGCAATACTACTCTCTCAAAGTGAAGATTTACAACGTATGCTGCACCAATTTAATATAAATGCCAGAAAATTTAACATCTGAAATTCCCCAAAAAAGACAAAATGCATAGTTACAACAGCAAATTTACTAAGATTTAAATTGGGACTGGAAGGTCAGTTAATAGAACAAGTGATGGAATTTAAATATTTAGGCATCACATTATCTAGCTACGGAAAGCTCGAAACCGAAGTTGAAGATCAAGTGAATAGAGCTAACAGAGCCACAGGCTGCCTAAATGAAACTATATGGAGAAATAAAAATATCGGGAAAGAAAAGAAAGGCCGAATTTACAAAATAGTCATCAGACCAATAATGACATACGCGGCAGAAACAAGACCTGATACAGAGAGGACAAAAAAGATGTTAGAAACCTCAGAGATAAACACTTAGAAAAATTGATGGTAAGACACTGTGGGACAGAGCTAGAAGTACATATATACGACGTAGATGCAAGGTGGAGAACATCAAGAACTGTAGAGTAGAAAGACGATCAGTAGGAAAATCACGAAAACGATGGAACGACAACTTACTGGAGGCACATTGAAAAACAGACAGAGCTATGTCTATATAAAAAGAAGAAGAAAATTCTCGACATTTCTTAGAACCAAAAGGCATATTATCGGAAACGATTTCCAAAGGAAGCTCGTGAGTGGCAAACATCCTCTTAAACGAATTTATTATTGACTCAGATGTTTTGGACTGCAACGGAACACTTTCGGAAATAAGATGCTCCTCCCGATTCACAAATATCAACCTCTAGCATTTGAAATGGCAGTTCTGGGATTTCTCTTAGTATTACCGGCTCTTTAACATTATTTCTCTGATATCTCTCACAATCCACACAATTTCTAACCAAATCCACTATGCCCTTATTCATATTTGGTGATAACAACAACTGTCGCTCTTTGCTGTGTTTTTTTGGCCCCAAAGTGTGTTTCATGAAACAACTTTAACATCCCGGTCGCATAGAATCCGGAACTATAACTGTGTCCCTATAAAATGTCTAATCATTTAATGAGTAAACGTCATACCTAATATTAAAATAATCCTTTAGAAAAATTTAAAGTTCCATTCCTTAGAAAATTCTGGATATCCCTTAGAAGGAATACTATCGGATACGACTTTCAAAGGAATCCCGTGAGTTGCAAACATAGTCTTAAACGAATTTATTATTGACTGGGCCGTTTTGGACTCCAACGGAACAATTTCAATCCACTTTGTCTTTGTCCACAATCCATTACGATTAAATAAGATGTTCCTTTTTGAAGATTTTTGAAGATTTGAAATGGCAGTTCTGGGATTTCTCTTAGTATTACCGACTCTCTGATATCTCTCACAATCAACACAATTTCTAAAAAAACTCAACTATGTCCTTATTCATAAATGAAATAGAAATAGAAATATCTTTATTCACAAGAATCGGTTGACAAAATAAATACACGATTTAAATGACTCCAAATAAAGTGAATAGTGTCAATACAAGAGATACAAAAGTAATAAAAACATACAATTAAAATACACATAAACAAGATAAAAAAATTTAAATCACATGTATTAAATAAAACAACACAAAAACAAGTTTAGTTCCTCCTACCTTTATCTATCTCACTAAATATTCATTGATCGAAATTGGTTCAAGATCTATTACAAGATCGCTTACATATTGCTTAAAGCTGTTAAGTGATAGAAAGTCTATGCGCAGAAAGTCTGTATTTCGTTAGAGCAAGAACTGTCTTAAAATAATCCTTTACTATATAAGGTACCCTTGATGCGCACGACGGCCACTCTTTTTTACAAAAATTTCTTATTATTTGAAGTTTCTTATCCTGTTTAGTTTCAGCTATAAATTTTCTGTTATATTTAATGTATGCACTATTTCCGTTACAAAAGCAGCATCCTCTACCTTTTCTTTCAAAAAGTTTCAAGACAACAAATTAGCTATTAGCATTTCCTTGCCTGGCTTATATTCTACAGTCAAGTCATATTTTAATAATTTCACCTTCATGCTTTGTAGACTACTAGAGTCTAGTTCTACTATGCCTTTTGCATTATCGAAATCTTATGATCAGTGAAAAACAAATCCTTAATGTTTTATCAGGTTTTTCAACTACAACCAAATTACTTAACCACTCTGTAGGAGACTATCAGACACACACACACTATATATATATATATATATATATATATATATATATATATATATATATATATATATATATATATATATAGCTACTGTCACTAAGACCCATCACTAACCATTCTTCACCCTCCTCCTTTCTGATCTGGGCTTGAGACCTAGAGAGTTAATAACTGTCATCTGCGCGTAACTAAAATTGTTGTTTATATAGGTTCCGTTAACGTAAATTCCTTCCTCCATATTTTCCAGCCCTTTTTGTCAAAATTTGTTATGTTGGGAAGATGAGCAGAAAGTGCACAACCCTGTCGTACTCCCGCTTTATCTTCAAGTTACATGTTATTTATTAAAAAAAAGTTATTGAGTTGACTAGTTCAACATTTTGTGAAAGCAAGTTTTAGTTTTGAGGACTGACCTGTAAAATATTTCTTAGTTAATTTACATACATTAGTATATTTTAACTTAATTTTGAATAATTTACTTATAACGAAGTGATATTTTATTTTCTAGATTATTAGATATGAAATAATTTTAAAAAGTATACAGATTTGCTAAATTTATTCTTATAGATTAGTTGCATGCGAAAGCAACATTGCTACTGGATTTTTAGACTAAAAGGATCAAATAAGTCAATTGATTAAGCTGCAGGTTTCAAAAATGCCTTAGTAAATATTATAAATAAATGCATGATGCAATATAAATTATATTTTTTTAAATTTCGTTCGCTATATACATATCAGTCTTGACAAATACAAAGAGTACCAGCAAGGAACCGAAATGCTTTAAAATTAAATTGTATCCCTACTGTCATCCTTTTGGTCTGAAATATATACCCACTTGAACACCAGCTCTTAGTTAAATCAAGTAAAAATACTTCTTAGCAACTTTAGCCGAATTAAAAAATTTTAAGCCGGAGGAACTAGGACCTAAACTTTTTTTATATCGAATTAAAAATACTCGTTTTAGTGTGAAACTCCTGATTCCTCGTTTTGAATACTCATTTTTTTAATTGCGTCGTCAGGTTTTTACAATTATTTTGTATACTTAAATATAATTTGACTGGTTTGAATGAGTTTCTTTCAGTTCTAGACTCTACTGCCATTTAAAATTTGATATTGTCTAAATACACTGGCAATCTTTGCTATGTTCCTAAAGTGCTTTGGAAGGAGTGCTCCTAAATTTATTACACATTTTACGTAACTTCTGATCTATAAAATGTAAAAGTGGTTTTACACCAATAATAAATTCATAAAGTAGTTTCAAGATCAAATTGGACGTGAGCAAAGCACAATTTGACATCCAATTTTGCCGTTATTGAGTTCACGAATTTATGCATGAAAAATTGACGGAATTGAACTGGTTCTGTTTTTTTTTTTCATTTATTTTACGTGAACTCAGTGTTACCAATCTGTGCCGATTTGGCGCGAAGTAGAGTTAACGTTTACTTGTTTAATATTGATATTTCATGTTAAAGCCGTGGCAAGTGCAAGTTTTTGAGCATATTTTATTTGAGAAATTTTTGTTTGAAAATATTGAGTGTTGTGTAAAAGACGTAATATTATTAATCATATAATAAAATTAATATAATTATTTACTACAAACAATAACAAATAACATCCATTAATACATTCGTTGGTCCTACTGAATGTAGTGAAAACTTAAAACTTTATTTAAAGTAAAACGAACTTTTACTTCCAAGATAATCACGAATATAATGACAAAAAAAGTGATGAAAAGATACATTAATTTTTTCGTTAATTTATTGTTGACGTAAAGCCTACTTTACATAATCAGTTTTTGCATTGCTAAACTAAGGCATCTGTATGTCTTAATGCATAATATCTGCTAATGTATATGATAATAATATATAATTAGGGCAAGACAAAAATAAAAATAAGATTGCTTGACGTCACCAATTTTTGCATTTCGAATTTGGTACACTACAAACCAGGTCCTCCATTGAGCATTTGGCTAGACATGAAAAAGAGACCAGAAGGTGTTCTGTAATTTGCTCTTGTCTACAATCGCAAAGGGCCGATTGTTGTTAGGTTATGTTTTGACAAGAGAATTGTCTTTTATTCTCAGTCAAACATTAATCCTATCTTTTATTACATATATCGAAGTATCGTGCTGTTAAAAACACGCGGCTTGTAAGTAGTTACCAGAAAAGTAAATGTTGCCACAAAAAAAAGAATCTAGTGAAATTTTTTATGAAACTTTTTATGTCTAAAGCAATCTTTTCCAACTACTGTTTTTAGTTTTTAAACAAGCATGAAATATACTTAAATGTACACATATACAAAAGCATTTGGATAGAACACTAGTAAATGACATTAATCGTCCATATGCAGTAGTCCCTCCATTTTTTGGTAGCGTTAGGTTTTTATATCCTAATATTGAATTTACATTTGTAACTAGAAGGCTTTGACATACTTAGCTTGCAAGTACAAGCTTAATTTCATCTTTTAAAGATCTCTTAACGAGTTTTCTTATTGCTAAAGACAAGAAGTATGTCCAAAAAACTTGGCAGTCAAGAATGAATGAATTGAAAGAACGAGATTCTCCTTACACAAATACTGAAAGAAAAGTTCCTCAGATTAATACTTTATGTCCTATTATACATCTAATTAATAGAAGGCAAACTCCTGCAAATTTTTTTACAGCTGTATCTCCAAAATATATTAAAGAATATGTCACAGTATTTCCATAATTGAATAAAATCGACATTAGTGACTCAATGTTGCCAACATTATACAAATTCTGTTTAATACTGAACGGGGACTTACCACGTTTTGATGTATATTCAATATTCATGTACAATTTTAACTTTTATATTTCAGTTGTTTAAAACTATAACGAAAAACGGTATATTATTTCGTATATATTAATATTCGAAATAATGCATGCAAAAAGTCGAAAACATTTCGAAGCAAGTGAGCCGGTATCGTAAAAAAAACTTATGTTCGGTGTTTACTCTTTAGTGAAACATATAGTGACATATTCTTTATTATTTGCATATCATGATCATAAAATTATTATTATACCTTTAATTCGATTTCTTACATAGAACGTCAGGATTTAAAAAATGTTTTGTTTAAATTTTAAGTTATTATTTCTTGTTATTTAAAAATATTTATGTTTCTCGTGTTCGCTTTCTGATTTGTTTTTAGTATTTTTGTTGTGAACAAAAATATGATCTTCACATTTTGTAAGCATTATTAATAAATTTTCCTGAACTTATCTTTTGTTTTTTTTTTCATTGAATTATTACATTATAGATACAGTATTAGAAATTATGAAGTACTGTTGTAACAATTTTTAAATTATCTATGAATTGAAAAAAAACCGGAAGTTACATGGATATACGAAAACACCAAAAAGAAGATGAACCGTCGCCATAGGACGGATGGCAGACGTGTAATATAGAAATTATTTTGTGCAGAAATCGTATATAACAAATGATTTATTAAGAGAAATAAATCAAAAATAGAATATTCAGTTTTTTTAAGATGAAAAAAATTTATTTAAAAAAATGAAAATTTATTTAATATCAAAATTCGCCAGCAATTGCATTAGTTGCTTCACTCATATTGAATTGTCAGAGAAGGTCGAAGGGTTAGGAGCGCTGGGACCCTTCGCATACCATCTCCAATCTAACCCACCGGATTAGATGTTTCATATCAATAAAATCAAAATATTTCGAGGGATACCAATAAGAGAATTGTGCGATGTATAAGAAATAGTTAAATATATTAAATCTAAGTTAAGTATTGATAAATTTTACTTTTTCAAATTCAGATCCGGCTATATATTAGATTTTTATCCGGTTAGTAATGGATTGCGCTGCAGTTGCATTTGCGTACAATAATTAAATGCGGCATAAAGGCAGTAAAAGTGAGATAAGGAGTAAAAAGCAAAAGCATAAGGTTAAACAAAAGCATGAAAGGAAGAAGAGAAGATTTAGAACAATTCACCAGTATAAAATGCGAACACGTGAAATAAATAGATTTTTATCTAGAAGGTATTTGAGATGTGGCTTTTTCAAAGATTATGATTAATATCCTTTACAGAACATATCACTAATAGAGAAGTTTTAAGATACATGAGATGTGATACGGAACTATTTGCAACGAAAGTATCTGCTATAATCTCTCATCTATCCCACTATTATCTCTGTAAATGGATCTTTGTTATAATGTGTCGTTATGCCTATCTTTTCCCGTCATTCAGGCTAGGTACGTAGTGTTCCTGGTATTATCTGGTTGTGCGTGTTTTTATGGAGACTTTGTTATAGACCGGTTGCACTGCAGCCACTTGGTTTATTGTACATCTTCCATTTATTCATGATACTCATTCCATAATTCTGGAACCTCGTACCAGCCTGTACAGGTTAGTGGATTGGTATCCATTTCTGTCTTTATTAAACGAACTTAGTAGCTTTTGAAAGCCTGCCTTGATTGCCGCATGTCGAGTAAGGAAGTCTGTACTGATTCTAAGCTAATTACTGCTTGTTTCCTCAGTACTCCAGCCTGTAGTGAAGTATTTTGTAACTGACCCTTCTTCTTCGTCTAGCCATTCACGTCCACATCTGAACATAATACTCTTCAAGTCTCCCTTTCCATTGTTTTTTATTGCACGCTACTTGTAGCCAATTTTTCCCGGCAGTCCTTTTCAGATCATCTGTCCAACTCATAGGAGGTCTGCCTCTGGGTCTTTTGTGTTGGTATGGTTTCCAGGTTAATGACCCTTACTGGCAACTTTATCAGCTCTTTGTAATAGAGTGACATTCTCCTAGTGGAATAGAAATGTCGATATTTCTAACATTACTGTACATCCTATACCCAGCCCTTATGCAGTCTTAGACCAGTCTGTGGACCATTGCAGTATCCTGAATTGTGTGCTTTCTCTGCCCCATCACTCTCATGGGCAGATCTCCATTTGGAAAGGTACTTTAAGCCTGTACCTGGGCACCATATGGATAGAAGTCATCATCCGACGGTATCTCACATTTAATTTATGATGATAATGTGCCATGTGTCTAACCATTAAGTTAACTCCGGTTTTCTCATACTATATCAATTCCTTCCTTATAACAATGTGCAGAGGAAGGAGGTCCAATAGGGCTTCGATAGCTCCTGTTGGGTAGTAATTTCAAAGCAAGTAAGTGTTTGCATTTTTCTTCTGAAAGAAGATTCTGATTCTGAAATGAGAATCACATTCTTCATGTGATTCACAAGCCAGTTGAATAGCTTTCCAGACAGTAGAATTCAACTTCTCCACTTGTTTATTTCCTTAAGGATTATAAGCAGTAGTTCTACTTGTTGCGATTCCTCTGAAGTTGAGAAACTCTTTGACTTCATCTGATAGAAATTGAGTCTTTCTATCCGAGTGAATGTAGGCAGGCATTCCAAATATCATGAATAAGTTATTTAAATTCTTGATTACTGTTTTGGCATTAATATCACTGCATGAGAAAGCAAATGGGAATATGGAATAATCATCTATTCCCGTAAGAATATAACGATTATTGGTACTCGAAGGTGCTGGTCCTTTGAAGTCAATACTAAGGCGTTCGAAGGTAGATGTGGCTTTTATAAGCTTTGGAAAAAGCCCCTCATTCTTAAAGTACCTCGGCTTGATTTTAGCACATACCCCACAGTCACGAGTCATAGTCTTGATTTCACTGAGAGAGAAAGGCAAATTCTTCGATTTCATCCAATGAAACATACGTGTTACCCCTGGATGACAAAGTGCAGTGTGAAGTGACTTGAGTTTTGATGCACCTGCCGCCGTGATAGTAGCACAAAAGCAGATGCTGAATAAAGCATCCGCTGCTTGGTTGTCTTTTCCTGGTCGATACACAATGTCATATTTATAAGGTGCCAATTGAAGTCGTCATATTTGTATTTTATCACTTTTAATCGTGCTGGAATGCTTCATGTTGAACATAAATGTTACAGATTTTTGATCAGTAATGATTGTGAAAGGCTTTCCTATAAGAAAATGGCGCCACTTCTTTAGAGATTCAACAATAGCGTATAGTTCTTTCTCCACAGTAGAATGGTTCAGCTTACTAGAGTTAAGTGATCTTGTGATTCAAGGTAGCAGCAATCGAGTGTTCTGAAATGTCAGTATCAACAACAAATGGCATTTTTCGTTGATAGTGTAAACAGATGATTTTGCAACTATAGATTTCAGATTTTCAAAATAAGATAAAGCATCTTCGTTCAATGGAAAATTGTTGACATGAGCTAATGTGTGGACCCTTTCAGAAAATTTGGTAATCCATTTTAAATAATGGGCAAACATACCTAATTTATGAGAGATACTATCAAGAGAGATGGCTGATATCAACATTCATAACACTACCAAAAAAACCAACTGCAAAAGAATGCCAAGACCACCGGATAAAAAGTTTAATGAGTCATACGCTCAAAATATTTTTAAAAATTATACACCGGAGAATACACAACAAACTTGAGCAGGACATAAGTGACACACAATTTCGATTTACAAATGCACTGGGAACGAGGGAAGCCCTGTTCGCTGTGAATGTACTTGTGCAAAGGTGCATGCATGTTAATCAGCCAGTATATATGTGTTTCTTGGATTACAACAAAGCCTTCGATACGGTCAGACATAACCGTCTTATCGAATTACTTGAAAAGAAAAACTTAGATATGAGAAACATCAAGATCCTTAGCGCTATCTATTATAATCAGATCTCTGTGGTAAAAGAGAAGAACGTCTTTTCAAATGAAATACAGATTGAGAGGGGCGTCAGATAGGGCTGTGTCCTGTCTCCTACTTTGTTTAATTTGTATTCAGAGGAAATAATCCGGGAAGCACTAGAAGAAATAACTATGGGAATAAAAGTAAATGGCCGACCAATCAATAATATACGGTTTGCCGACGACACTATTTTATTAGCGTAATGTCTTTACATTTCGCTCATGTAGGATTTACAACAAATGGTTGACAGAGTGATAGAAGTCAGTGAAGAAAACGGACTGTCCCTAAACACAAAAAAGACACAATTTATGGTAATTACAAAAGCCCAACAGCGCCAAGAAAACATACCAATACATGGAGAACAAATTAAAAAAGTTGAAAAATATAAATATCTGGGTACAATAATTAATGAAAATAATGAGTACACAGAAGAGATTAAGGCAAGAATAGGACAGGCAAGAAATTCTTTCAATTAACTGAAAAAAGTACTCTGCAGCAGGGACATTTCAATTTCTTTAAAGCTAAGACTTCTGAGATGCTACCTGTTCTCCGTATTATTTTATGGGTTGGAGGCTTGGACTTTAAAAAAAGATGTTTCGGAAAGATTGGAAGCCTTCGAGTTATGGGCCTACAGAAGTATATTAAGAATAAGTTGGGTAGATAGAGTCACGAATGTCGAGGTGTTGAGAAGAATGGGAGAAGATAAAGAGGTCTTAAATACAGTTAAAGCCAGAAAACTGCAATATCTGGGACATGTTATGAGGGGCGAGCATTATAACTTGTTGCAATTAATAATGCAAGGAAGAATACAGGGTAGATGGAGTGGCGGAAGAAGACGCGTCTCCTGGTTAAATAATTTGAGAGCTTGGTTTAACTGCACTTCTGCTGACCTCTTTAGAGCAGCGGCGTCGAAAGTGCGAATTGCCATGATGGTTGCCAACCTTCTTAGAGGAGATGGCACGTGAAGAAGAAGATACCTAGTACCCTTCTGAGAGGTGCAGTGTGATTCGGTGGAGGCATTTTTAATAAGCGTTGTAGTCTGCTACCATCGGCTTAATGATATGGATTGGTCCTGTAGTATAAGCAAGTAAGTTTATTACTGTTTGATTGAATTTGCTCTTGGTTTTGTTTAGTGTCAAGCCATATTTATCTGTGGCCTTCAGAAGGTTCTTAAGATTTTTGTCATGCTCTACCTTCGTCTTACCACAAACAGTTATGTCATCAAGGTAGGCATATATCCCTTCAAGGTTTTCTGTGCGTATGAGCCAGTCGATTGTTCTTTGGAAACTGGCTACACCATTGGTAACACCAAACGGAATGCGACAAAATTGGTACAGTTTCCCAGCATCTTCAAAAGCTGTGTACATCTTTTCATGTGGAAATATTGGAACCTGATGGTATGCACTTTGGAAATCTATTGCACTAAAGACAGTGAATAATTGTGATACATTGAACACCATTTCCTCGATATTTGGCAGTGGATAGGCGTCAAGTTGAGTGAATCGATTA